ATTTTTGCCTGCTGCCAAACAGTCTAGGCTCTCCCCCAATGAGCCCGGCATTGGGGTTCAGTTCAGTTGGAAGTGGAGTTGGAGGTGATGTTCAGAGCATTCTGGAGCCCCAGTCTCCTTCCCGCCAGGCAATCCCGCGGCACAGCCGACTGTATCTTCTCTGCGCGCAATGTGTGCGCCACCGGGACTCCTTTCGCCGCTCCCCCGGGGTTCCGCCTTACAGCCCAGCTCCTTCTGTTTGAGCCTGGATCCCCGGGGTCTGGCCTAGAACTGGGGTTCAGAGCAGTCGGAACTGGGGCCCAGCACAGTTGGAGCTTTTATCTCCTTCCTGCTAGGGAATGCCAGCCAGGCACTCAGCTGCCCCGCCCTTCCTCTCCAGCTCCGTCCTCTCTGCGCCGCGTGTCTCTGTACCTTAGGCTTTTACAGCCCCACTGCTCTTCCTTCTGGCCTTCTCCTTGCTTCTTGTTGTAGAATTTACAGTCAGTCGACTTTCCTGTAGTTCTGGGTAATGTCCATTTTATATTTTAGTTGTATCTTATTGAAATTGTTGTGTGCGGCTGCGGCTAGGTGTCTACCTGTTCAGCCATCTTGGATTCTCCCTCCTCCTGTGAGTTTTTGTTGATTATTCAGGAAGCCCTTCAGTATTTTAATGTAGTTCCAGTTTGTTCCTCGGAGCATGTCTGTGCAGCATCCTCCTACTCTGCTGCCATTTTAAGTCTGATAATGAGCTCATTTAGCTCTTTATTCTCTTGTAAACCTTCCAGCTATTCTTTAAATAATAGTCTTGCTGAGTAGTTATCTTGGTTCTAAGTCCCTGCTTTTTATCACTTTGAACATTTTGTGCTAATCCCTTCTGGCCTGAAATATTTCTGTTGAGAAATCAACCAATGGTCTTATGGAAGTTCCCTAAGGTATAGATAACAAGTGTTTTTCTTTCTGTTTTTAAGATTCTGTCTTAAACCTTTGCTTTTTAAATTATGATATGTCTTGGGGTAGGCCTCTTTGGGTTCTTTTTTAAAAATGTCTATTGATTTTGGAGAGTAAGGGAAAGAGAGAGTTAGAAACATGGAGGAGAGAAAAATCATTAATTGGCTGCCACAATGTGCTCTGACTGGGAATTGAACCAGTGACCTCTTGGTTCACTAGGTTAATGGTCAACCATTGAGCAACATTGCTAGCTGGGCTTTGGGTTCTTTTTGTTTGGAATTCTCTGTGCTTCCTGGACTTGTACGTCCATTTTCTTTTACAGTTTAAGGAAGCTTTCAGTCATTAGTCATGTTCTTTCCTACCTCTATTTGGTATCTCTATCATGTGAATGTTCTTATTCTTGATAATGTCCCATTTGTGGGGGAGGGGATTTTTTTTTTTTTTCTGTTTGACTTTAGCCCATTTTAAAATTGTGTTGTTTTTTTGTTTTTGGTCTTTTTTTGCAATTGAGTTGTAAGCATTTCTTATAATATTTTCTAACTCCTTATCTGACACATGTCTTGCATAGACTTTTTAAAAAGGCTTTAATTTTAGTGCTGTTTTAGGTTCACAACAAAATTGACAGGAAGGTACAGAGATTTTTTTTTTTTCATATACTCCCTGCTCCAATACATGCATAGCCTCCCATCACTAACATTCCTCACCAGAATGATACATTTGTTACAGATGAACCTACATTGACAATTTGCATATACTTTTTAAAAAATTCTCATCTCAGGATGTGTTTGTTGCTTTTAGAGAGAGGAAGGGGGGAAGAAATATTGATGTGAGAGAGAAATATTGACCAGTTGTCTCCTGTATACAGCTCCAACTGGGGATCAAACCTGGAACCCATTATGTGCCCTGACTGGGAAGCGAACCCACGAGGTTATGGTGTATGGGACAATGCTCCAAACAACTGAGCAATCTGGTCCACATGGGTGTGGGACCAGCCCATTCTGCATCTCCACCCTTCCTACCAGAGTCAATGCGGCTTCTTTAAATCCTTAGATGCAGGCCCTCCCTGTTTTAGATCAGTGGTTAGAGCATCAGTCTACGGACTGAAGGGTTACAGGTTCAATTCTGGACAACAGCACATGCCTAGGTTGTGGGCTTGATCCCAAGTAGGGGGCATGCAGGAGGCAATGATTCTCTCTTCATTAATGTTTCTATCTCTCTTTCCCTCTCCCTTCCCCTGTAAAATCAATAAAGATATTTAAAAAATCCTTAGATGTAGGACTTGCACTCAGGTGGACTTTAGGTGTTTCTGAATGATAGTCGTAATTGTGGGAGGCCAGGAAAGTGTCTCTCTAGTCCACCATCTTGCCCAGGAGTGAAATAATTTTATTTTTTTTAAAAATATTTTTTATTTCAGAGGGAGAGGGATAGAGATAGAAACATCAACGATGAGAGAATCATTGATTGGCTGGCTCCTGCACACCCACCACTGGGGACTGAGCCCACAACCAGGGCATGTACCCTTGACTGGAATTGAACCCGGGATCCTTGAGTCTGCAGGTCAATGCTCTATCCACTGAGCAAAACCATCGAGGGCAGAAATCAAATAATTTTTAGATTTACAACAAAGTTTTAAAGATAGCATAGAGAGTCCCCACATTCTTGTCACCCAGTTTCCCTCACTGTTAGCATCTTATCTTACCATCAGTGGAGAAACTGACATTGGTACTTTACTGTTAATTAATCCTCAGACCTTATTGAGTTGTGCCAGTTTTTTCACTAATGTCATTGTTCTGTTTCAGGATCTAGCTAGTCCAGGGCACCACACTGCACTTAGTGGTCCTACATCCCCAGTCTCCTCTGGCCTGCAATAGTTTCTAAATTATTATTATTTTTTTCATGACCGTGGCCACCTGGGAAAATACTGGCCAGGTATCCTGTGAGTGTGATAGCATGTCACCCAATCCGGTTTTCCTCATCACTGAACTGGGGTGATGGGCCTGGGAAACAACCTTTCCTCACAGTATCCAGGGGTACATGACATCTACATGCATCTCCAGTGCTGCCAGCCAGCACGTGTTTAGGTGCATTCACCAATTTTCTCCACGTGAAAGCTCTCTTCCCGCTTTCCTTACCAGTCACCAAATCTCAGCTGCCCTCAAGGAGGCAGAAGATTTGGCTCAACTTCCTGTGCGGGGTAGGAGTATTTCAGATGTTATTTGGAAATCTTCTGCAAGGACACTCGAGTCTTCTTTTTCATTTCTTTTTAAAAATGTATATATTTGTATTGATTTCAGAGACGAAGGGAAAGGGCCAGAGAATTAGAAACATCAATGATGAGATGTTGATCACAAACATCATTGATCACTGCCTCATGCACCCTCCCTACTGGGGATTGAGTCTGCAACCCAGGCACAGGTCCTTGACTAGAATTGAACCCGAGACCATTCAGTCTGAAGGAGGATGCTCTATCTACTGAGCCAAACTAGCTAGGGCCTTTTTCATTTCTTTAGTCATTTATGTACATCAGTATAGACTCGTGTATGTTTATTTTATACTTGGTTATAATCCAATACTGCAGTAATCATTTTGTTCCTCAAATTGTTCCAGATTTGGCCTTTGGGGGTTTGTTGGGAGCTGAGTCCCCTGCCGACCTGAGAATCGGGGGAGGAGCAAGGGTAGGCAGCCCTGCCTGCTCTTCCCCAGAAGTTGGGTCACTTGGGGACGTGGCAAGCAACAGTGTCCTTCCTTCTGCTGTGCGTGCAGAATTGGAATCTGCAAACATGTCCTTGAATTAACATAGCAGAGCACAGCTGGATGAACTTTCCCAGGCAGATATCTTCCTGCGGAGGTCTTAAGGAACTGGCACGGAGCCTCATGTCCTGAGAGGAGGCCATCTGGAGGAATGCCCAGCTTCAGTGTATAAAGGAGTTTGCGCCCTTAATAAACTTGCTGCGGTGCCATTAGGCTCTGCAGTCCTCCTGAAGCCCGCTGTTCATGTCCTCTTCTCCTCAGCCTCCTAGCCATACCTCAGGGCCTGTAAAACGGCTGGATCCGGTAGGGGTTCTTTTAGATCTGGGAGCGAGGTGTTCGAATTGCTGCTGGTGTCATCTGTATTAATATCTGTATTAATTTCCATATTAAGCGGTGCGAGTCCCACTGGTATCTCTGACACCCACCCAGCGCCAAAGGACTGTCCCGCCTCCGGCTCCTACCGCCCGCCGGCGGGAGGCCTGCCTCCCGCTCCGGCCTCACCGGCCTCACCCGCACGTGGTCCGGGCCAGCGCCGCTCCCCACCGCTCGGGGGCGCAGTTCGGTGTGAAGACAGTCTCCGCTAAAACCAGTTTCCAGAGGGACTCAGGCAGCTCCTCCCGCCCAGGGGCTGCTTTTCTCAGGACGGAAGTCAGGGAGACGATCAGCCGGCCCCAGGGGAGTGTGGAGGGCACATCACTCCATTAAGGACCAGGCTCCGGAAAGATGAAATAGGAAAAGTCCGTCTCCTCCCTTCTCTTCCCGTGAGATGCAACAGCTCCTCCCACGCGCACTCAGAAGCGGAACCGCACCTTCCGATGCGGAGGAAGAGGCCGGCGGGTCCGAGCAGCACAGGGGCCCACGCAGGACGTGGCGCACAGCACGCGGCTGCCCACAGCACCGCGGACCCTTCCAGCGGCTCCACACGCGGTTCGCAGACCTCCCCCCAGCGCCTCCTCCCAGGACCCAGGCGAAGGGCAGATGCGGACTAGGAGCCCGCGCCGCTCTGAGCCCCCAGGGGAGGCGCGGGGCTGCGGCCGGCTTCGCGGGCGGGCTGTGCGCTTGGCGGAGAGCAGGGCGGCAGCAGCACGAGGCGCAGGATGCGCAGGCGCAGGCGCGGTGGGCGGGGCGCCGCAGCACGAGGCGCAGGATGCGCAGGCGCGGTGGGCGGGGCGCCGCAGCACGAGGTGCAGGATGCGCAGGATGCGCAGGCGCGGTGGGCGGGGCGCCGCAGCACGAGGCGCAGGATGCGCAGGCGCGGTGGGCGGGGCGCCGCAGCACGAGGCGCGGGCGCCTGAGCGTTGGGCAGCGGCCTGGGCGGCGGCATGGAGCGGGTGCGCTGGCAGGTGGTGGCGGCGGCGGCCGTGGGGCTGGCGCTGGCCCTGGAGGCTCTGCCCGCGGCGCTGCGCTGGTTGCGTGTCGGACGGCGGCGGAGGCCCCGGCACGAGGTGCTCTTCTTCCCGTCGCAGGTGACCTGCACCGAGGCCCTGCTGCAGGCCGCGGGGCCCGGGCCCTCGGCGCCCCCCGCGGGCTGCCAGTGCAGCCTGCCCCACGGCGAGAGCTCGCTGAGCCGCCTGCTGCGCGCCCTGCTGGCCGCCCGCGCCAGCCTCGAGCTCTGCCTCTTCGCCTTCTCCAGCCCGCAGCTCGGCCGGGCCGTGCAGCTGCTGCACCAGCGCGGCGTGCGCGTCCGCGTCGTCACCGACTGCGACTACATGGCCCTCAAAGGCTCGCAGATCGGCCTGCTCCGCAAGGCAGGTAGGCGCGGGCGAAGAGCCCGCTGGGGGCAAGGCCCAGGCTGGAGGTCTGGCCTCTGGGACCGTGGGCGGAAGGGAGAAGGTCGGAAGCGCCCAGGTCGGGTCGGGTGTCTGAGTACAGGGGACACCCCATTTATTTCGCAGGGTGGCTTTGTGAGGCCAGCAGGCTTTACCCCGTGAAGGGCCGGCCCCGCGGTGGGTGCCCGGTGGGGGCGAGCCGCCTGTGTGTATCCGCCGGCGGAGGACGTTCCCGGGGACTCCGAGAGGCTGGGGTGCCCAGGGCCCCGGGCAGGGCAGAGCCTCTGGGAGCCCCCACGTCCCCGGGTCCGGGTGGAGCTGAGTGTGGCCGAGCTGAGTGCGCAGATGGGCGAGGCGGGAGCCAGGCCCGGGCGCCCCGGTGCAGGCGCACAGGGCGGCAGCCGGTGGGGCATTGAGGGCGAAAGGAGGAAAAGGCGTTGCACCTTAAATACACTCTTGACTTTCATGCGGGGGCTTCTGAAATTAATAAGAGTGATTTCTAAAAAGTGGGACTGTGTTTAGTTGGCGAGAAGTTAATGTTTTTGCAGCCGCAAAACACCTGGGAAGCTGGCCTCTGACCAGGCCGGGCAGGTGAGCAGGATCAGATCCCGGTCTCACCCGGGCCCTGTGGAACGGTGTCCTGCAGGCGTGCTCTGCCTCGTGCGGGAGCTGCACGCAGCCCTGCTTCGTGTCCTCAGCTGCTCCGGCCGGCATTCCTGCAGGACCCCTCCACCCCGCCCTGGCCCAGTGACGGAAAGGAGCCCCGGGCGCCTTGCTGGCCCGCAGGCAGGGGAGTCCGCCGGCCCGGCCCTGGCTGGCACTGCCCCCTCCGGCTGTGGGCCCCAGCAGCGGCGGCCTGATAGGAGGAGGCTCACCCCGTCCTCCTGCCCATGTCCTCCCCGCGGACACGCTGGCAGCGCCGCCTTCACTCCGCTGGCTTCCGAATGGTCAGTCTCAGGCGGGGAGACCTGGCAGGGCCGCGCCATCCCTCCTTCCGGGCTGGCTCCGGGCCCGCCGCCAGCCACCTGCTCAGCAGGCCCGTGTCCGGGTTCGGGGCACCGGCCCCAGGGCCAGGGCCGCGGTGGGGAGTCCGCCGGGAGCGTGAGGCGAAGGCAGAGAAGGTGGGGAGCCTCCGGGGGGAGGACCGGCCGTGTCTCGGCCGGAGGGGGGTGCCCTGAGGGTTTGGGACCGGTGCCCCCACGGGGCGGCGAGCAGGGCTGGAGCCCTGACCGCAGGTGCGCGAGGCCACAGGCGTGGAGGGCCCTCCTGGCCAGGGCCTCCCGTCCTGAGGGAGCCTGTAGGGCCGGTGCGGGAGCGGATGGGTGTGGAGGGAGCCGAGGGCCGGGTCAGGAGCGGCCGGCGTGCGGAAGCGGAATGGACAGGAGCGCACTTGTACTGACCTGGACCCCAGCTCACCTGGACCATCCGTCCGGGCGCTAAGCCCGGCCAGCCCACTGCACAGCCGCTTTCAAACTTGTGAATCATTTCCTCAAGGGCCGTGGGGCAGGCCTGCGTCTGTGCCCAGGGGCCGGGCCGCGAAGACCGAGGGGGCGGTGCCGGGGAGGGGGGGTTCCTGCTCCGTCCTCCTCAGGCCAGGCCCTCCTGCAGGGAGGGTGTTTCCCGGGCCCAGAGACGGGTGGGCAGGGCCTCGAGGCTCTGCTGGCTGGTACGGACTCCAGAGCGCGGTGGGTCTGCCGTGGTCCCTGCTGCCTGAGGGCTGTCTGTCCCCTCCGGGGCCAGAATGCCCTGGGCGCTGGCTGGTGGGTCACTGGCTCGGCCACCATCACCTGCCCAAGTGACAAGATCTGCCCCTTTCCCATCCATTTGGCGACAGATAGCAAAGTTAGTAGCTGCTAGCAAATGGCCCCCAGAACTGTGGGGGGCAGTGAGGGAGGAGAGGGGAGGGAGGAGGGGCAGGGAGGAGGGGCAGGGAGGGAGGAGGGGGGCAGGGAGGGAGGAGCGGGGCAGGGAGGGAGGAGGGGGCAGCGAGGCTGACTCGCCTTTTGCAGGTATCCCGGTTCGGCACGACCAGGACCTGGGCTACATGCATCACAAGTTCGCCATAGTGGACAAGAAGGTGCTGATCACCGGCTCCCTCAACTGGACCACACAGGCCATCCAGAACAACCGGGAGAACGTGCTCATTTTGGAGGACGAAGACTTCGTGCGGCTGTTCCTGGAGGAATTCGAGCACATCTGGGAAGAGTTCAACCCTGCCAAGTACACCTTTTTCCCGCAGAAGAGGAGGAGTCACTGAGGAGGGTTCATGCCAGAACTTGGTGCCTCCGGTGGAAACCAGACCAAACCTGCAAGGCCCGGTGGAGGGTGCCCGTGTGCCCCGGAGCTGCTGCGGTGCCCGACTCTGCGTTCTGCTCCTGACAAAGCTCAACGTGAGGAAATCACTCCTCTGAATCGTCCCTCCCCGCGGCACCGACAGGCCCCGGTTCCGCTTGAGGAGGCGGGCTCCTGCGGCGCTGGGGTTCCCCTCCCGAGTCCGCGCAGCCGCGGCGCACCGGTCGGAGCAGGCTGCTGCGCACGCCCCAAGCGGGGAGCGCCTCCTTCAGGGCTGCAGCTCTGGGCCCCTCTCCTGAGCCCAGGGAACCTCCTGCACGGCCCCTCCACCGCGGCAGCCCTGCGGTGCCTCCCCCTTCGCACTGGCAGCTCGGCCGGCAGAACCGGCTGTCCTCAGCGCCTTGGTGGCTGTGGGCAGGCCTGTCAGAGGGAAAGGAGGTCAGGAAGGACTGCTGGGCGTGGGGGCAGGGAGCCCCTCCAGGCCTCCCCCCCCCCCCCCCCCCCGCGAGCATTACCTCTCGTGGACGCTCCCTGCGCTGCCCGTGTGGCTGCCAGGAAGGGCTGTGGGACAGGCCTGCGTCTGTGCCCAGGGCTGTGCTTTACCTTCTACCGCCCTCGCATCCAGAGCAGTTTTGTCTGTTGAGAAGTGGCCTTCACGGGGTCACCGTGGGCTCTGCCAACCTGCATTTCTGGCCCACGTGATCATCCAGGAGAGAGAAGGCAGTTCCGGTCGTATCTGCAGATCTAGTTTATCCTCAGCAGGCTCCCGCCCACAGGGAGGAGGGTACACAGCTGTGGGCGGATGGCTGACCTCCCCCCTCCCTGCCGCGGGCTCAGCGCCCCCAGACTGTGGGTGCTGCACGTTTCTTTTTTCAGTTACCTTTGACTTACCGTGTCAGGCAAGTAAATGCAGTTATTTTTTCTTATTTAATTGAAGCTATAAAGTATACTGTGTGGATCAGAAATCACAAGAAACGGTTTTATGTTAAATGTGTTTATCAGAGTCTGTACTCCAGTGGAGTTGTCCTGGATATCGCACATGGAATAAACGTTCTCATTCTGCAATGTCAGTGCTGTGCCTGCCTTTTACTCAGTCCTTCAAACTGTGGCTGCTCTCGGCTGAACAAGTGAAACCTGGGGGGAGGCGGCAACATGCAGTTCTTTAGAAACTGGTGGTGAGCAGGATAGTCTTGCCGGGAGGAAGGCCTGACGGTGTTCCTTAGGGATGCCCCAAGTGTTTCCAAGACACCTCCACTCCCGGTCCAGCCTCCAGCTCATCTGCTGGAGCTGTGGGGGCACCCACGCAGCCCGCTCCCCCAGCCGGTCTCCGAAACACGCTGGGTTCAGACATGGAGCACAGCTCAAGCACATCCGTAAGAGCGTACACAGAATCAGACTGACGTCTTATCCTATTTACATTGCTTACCTCGTTTTCAACATCTTCTCAGTGGCGGGAAGAATTTTAGATAACAGTTAACTTTTCAGAAAAGAACTTGCCATGAAAGAAAACTCCCTCTGAAGGCATGGGGCTGAGGAAGGAAGCACTGAAACCTACCTCCAAACAAGGCTGCTTGGTTTCCATGTAGACGAGGTAAACAATTACCCAGAGCCCCTGACCTTTGGGTTGGCCACCCCTGCTCTGACAGGCGCGGTGTGCCCAGGGCAGCCAGGCCAGGCCAGGCCAGGGGAGCTGACTGGCATGTCTGGTTGGCTAGATAGAGTTCACATCTGGTTTAAGAGTGCATGAGTACCTTTTTTTTCCCTTCAAATTTAATAAATTTTTATTGCTCAGATTATTACAATTATTCCCCCCCCCCCATAGCTTCCCTCTACTCAGTTCCTACCCCACCCTCTGCTCTTACCTTCCTCCCCGCATTGTCCTCATCCATAGGTGTACAATTTTAGTCCAGTCTCTTCCTATACTCCTACACCCCTTTCCCCCTGATAATTATCAATCCATTCCCTTTCTTTACCCCTGATTCTATTATAGTCACCAGTTTGTTCTGTTCCTCAGATTTTTAAAAAAATATATATTTTATTGATTTTATACAGAGAGGAAGGGAGAGAGACAGAAAGCTAGAAACATCGATGAGAGAGAGTCATCGATCAGCTGCCTCTTGCACACCCACTACTGGGGATATGCCCGCAACCAAGGTACATGCCCTTGACCGGAATCGAACCCGGGACCCCTCAGTCCCCAAGCCGACGCTCTATCCATTGAGCCAAACTGGTCCCGGCTGTTCCTCAGATTTTTAATTCACTTGTTGATAATAAGCATTTGTTGATCATAATTTTTATCTTCTTTCTTCTTCCTCTTCTTAAAGAATACCTTTCAGCATTTCATATAATACTGGTTTGGTGGTGATAAAACTCCTTTAGCTTTTTCTTATCTGTGAAGCTCTTTATCTGGCCTTCAATTCTGAGTGATAACTTTGCTGGGTAGAGTAATCTTGGTTGTAGGTTCTTGCTATTCATCACTTTAAATATTTCTTGCCACTCCCGTCTGGCCTGCATAGTTTCTGTTGAGAAATCAGCTGATAGTCATATGGGTGCTCCCTTGTAGGTAACTATTTCTCTTGCTGCTTGTAAGATTCTGTCTTTTGCCCTTGGCATTTTAATTATGATATGTGGTCCTCTTTGGATTCCTTTTGTTTGGGGTTCTGTGCGCTTCCTGGACTTGTATTTCTTTCACCAGGTGGAGGAAGTTTTTGGTCATTATCTCTTCAAATAGGTTTTCAGTATCTTGCACTCTCTTCTTCTGGAACCTCCATAATTCTTTTTTAAAAATAAATCTTTATTGATTAGATTATTACAAATGTGTTCCTCTCCCCCCTCCCTCCATTGCTCCCCTCCATCAGGTTCCCACCCCACCCTCTGTCCTTTCCACGCTCATTGTCCTCATCCATAGGTGCACAGTTTTTGTTCAGTCTCTTCCCACATCCTTCCCCACCGCCAGAGAATTGTTAGTCCACTCCCCTCCCATACCTGATTCTATTATATTCACCAGATGATATTGCTCATCAGATTATTTTAATTCCGTTGGTTTTTAGATTCACTTATTGATAGTTACGAATTTTGTTCATAATTTAAAAAAATATTTTATTGATTTTTTTTACAGAGAGTAAGAGAGGGGGATAGAAAGTTAGAAACATCGATGAGAAAGAATCATTGATTAGCTGCCTCTTGCACAACCCCTACTGGGGATGTGCCTGCAACCAAGATACATGCCCTTGACCGGAATCGAACCCGGGACCTTTCAGTCCGCAGGCTGACGCTCTATCCACTGAGCCAAACTGGTTTCGGCTGTTGTTCATAATTTTTATCTTTATCTTCTTCCTTTTCCTAAATAACCCCTTTCAGCAATTCATATAATTCTGGTTTGGCAGTGATGAACTCCTTTAGCTTTTTTTTTTATTAGTGAAGCTCTTTATCTGGCCCTCAATTCTGAGTGATAGCTTTGCTGGATAGATTATTTTTGGCTGTAGGTTCTAGCTATTCATCATCTTGAATATTTCTCGCCATTCCCGTCTGGTCTGCATGGTTTCTGTTGAGAAATCAGCTGACAATCCTGTGGGTGCTCCTTTATAAGTAACTACCTGCTTTTCTCTTGTTGCTTTTAATATTCTCTCTCTGACTTTTGCTCTTGGGATTTTAACCCTTTGCACTCCGAACCATTCTGGACATTGGCTACCATCTACTCGACGCTACCTTGCGGCGGAAACATGCATTTACAGACCCTCGTATTATTTAGTATAATTTTGGAACCAAGTAACGTATTATAATGATATTGGACTTATATGAATTGGGTGACATCGAGGAATGTATATTTTCAAAAAGACCCCAATATTTTATTGTTTATAATTTTGTACAGTATGATTAGTTTTGAAACACTCCCCAATATGCAATGCAGGCTGATCAGTGCATGTTTGACAGTAATAAGTGGTTTGACGCCTGCCACCAGGTGTTTTCCCGTTAGAACACACAATGCAGTCCTGTTTTCTTTGTCCCACATCGGGAACATGTAGTTTATTGTTTAATTTATTGTCCGCAGAAGATGTGGATGGACGCGTTCCCGATACACGAAAATCGCCCTTTAATTGGTCAACGGGTGCCTTGACAAACTTGTGGTGTGTCATTGGCGTTTCATTACTTGTTTGTTTTTCGATGAGCTTATCACACACATTTCCAACCCCCAAAAAATAACTTCCTCCACCATTTGAGCGATTCACGGAGGAAACAATACGTCGAAGCGTATTGATCTGCACGAACCACACCACCCATAGTTGCCGTATATTCTAACAGCATTTCAGGCTTACTGACTGTTAGATATGTCCACCGCGTAATGTTCTCTGGGTAGACTGTAGGTTTGTGTTATAATAATTGGTGAGCATGGTAATAATTCTTTTATCTTTCCACGCAACAAGCGTAGTATTATTCTTTCTGTATGCAGCTGTTTTATTGGTTGAAAATTTTGTTTTGTTTTTTTGTGTCGGTACGCCTTTTCGATTTATCTTTATAGTGCCAGTAAGATGACAATTCATCTTTAGCAGTTCTTCCGCTAAAAGGATGCTGGTATAGTACCTGTCGGTGAACATGTGGTATCCTTTTGCATCAGGAACTCTTTCTAATAATTTCTTGAATAAATGTAGCGGAATCCTGGTACTTACTGGAAGATCCGGCCGGGATACATTATCAGAGGTGATGCTGCCATAGTATGGAAGTATTGTAAATAAGTATCCCGTTCTTGAGTCCGCCAGCGCATATATGCGTATACCCCACTCTGTTGGCTTGTTGGGATTATACGTAATAAATGCTATTCTGCCTTTGAACTTTACAACAGGTTCATCCACAGCGACTGCTTTATATGGTATGAAATACTGTCTAAATTTGCTATCTATATATTCTAAATAGTTGCTAACTTTCTGAATGCGAGTTCTTATCGCTGCATTTCCTTGCGTGGGTTTG